GGTATACTGTTGGGCTTGTCCTGAAAGAGCACATGGCTAGGGTGATAAGCTGAAGGAATTCGTCAAATCTCTGTGAGAGATTAGGTTATCTGTAAACCGGAGAAATCGGGATGACATTTACAGGGACTCGGGAATCTATGCATAGTAAAAGAGATCATGAGATGATCTGCCTTTAGAGTTAGTAAATTGAAGATTCCCTATTTCGAATAAAGCTTACCCTAAACCGCAAGGGTTGATACGTTTCCTTACCTTAGGTTTTATGGGAAGGTAACCGAGACGAAAGGAAACACATACGGCAACCAAATATGTGTAATAGGATGATCAAGTCATTAATCTAAGTAGTTATGGGGCAACAAAGCATTGCTAGTGCTCTGTGTTGTCATTAGATGGGTTGTGGGATTATTGGGCCCAAACCCATTTATGTCAGTAGCTATGTTTGACCTAATGGGTCACACACTAACACCTAATTGTCTAGATGCTCTAGCATTAAAGGTATTGGGCCTAACAATTGTTATTAGCCCAAGAATTAGTTTGGAACTCCACAGATAGGGTGGAGGGCGCATGGATCAAAGTAATGGGCTTGGATAGTCCAAGACATTACTAATTAATTTAATTAGTTAAATTAATTATCAAATGTTTAAATTTTGAATTTTGAATTTGAAATTTGAAATCTGAATTTTGAATTTGAATTTTGAAATTCGAATTTTGAATTTTGAATTTGAAATTTGAAATTTGAAATTTGAAATTTGAATTTTGAAATTTGAATTTTGAATTTGAATTTTGAATTTGAATTTTGAAATTTGAAATTTGAAATTTGAATTTAGAATTAGAATTTGAATTTAAAATTTAAGTGTTTGAAAGTTTGAATTCAAATGTTTGAAATTCGAATTTGAATTGGCTATGAAAAGTTGTTTCATAACAAAAGGATAAGATGAGATCTTGTTGGAACATATCAGGAGGAGATATTTTGAACATAATCCAAGGATAATGGGTGCTGATTTTGGCTAGATTTGATCATCAAAATCAACTCCAGAAGATACGGCCTGTTGGGAGAATATTTTAGTGAGTTGATTTAAGTTTGAAATGCAACTAACTCAAATGTATCTGGTCACCTTTTAGGCTATATGGGGCGCACCATATAGCTGATTATATGATGATTCATGATCAGATTTCTGACTAGGTTTTGAACTTAGTCTCATGAGAATATTCTGGGATGTTGTTGGCAATTTTTGAAATGCAACAACTCCACTTATTCTCTCCCCAAGGGCGCCACTTTAGATCAGATTTTTGGGAGAAAATTCTGATTTGTTTTTGAAACTTAAAAGGCTCCTCTTGTGTACTTAATGAGTTGTTAGTTCCTCCTTAGGTTTGTGTGAAAAGCCAAGCCTTTCTCTACTCATCTATGCGCCCCTTGTGAGGTTTTCTCTTAGAACACTTCACTCTTCTAAACACTTTTACCTAGCCTCCTGCATCACACACTGAGCGCATAGCAAGCCTTATTGTGGTGATTAATCGACGGCCTTACTGGAAGGAGTTCCTGTATCTAGACGCGGGTGGTGTGGATCAACGTTAGAGAGTCTGAACCCTTCAGACCTACCTTGATCATCTTGAGTTTTCACGAACAAGGTATGACATACGTCTTAAAGTATGTATCTTGATATGCATGTGTGTTCCGCTTGCGAAAAATTTTGTTTTTCCCTCACGCATGTTTCGCCCTTCAAGGCCAATTCTACTTTCAGAATGTGTGAAAGTCAAAACTGATATATATTTGGATAACATGTGTGAATCAGGAGATACAGTGATTCCTGATCAGTTTTGAGGATTTGACCTAGTTACTTGTACTACAAGTAAGCTTGCTATAGAAGCTACAAGAGGTAAGCTCTTGGTTTAGGAAAATTCTTCCTCTTTGTTTGTTCTACTAGGATTTCATGATCTTGGTGGTATATCTGTATGTTTGTGTTTGTGATAGTTGGATATATAATGTAGTTTCATTCATATAGGTGATAATATGATATGATGTTAGTTGAGATGAATATATATATATATATATATATATATATATATATATATATATATATATATATATATATATATATGAGTGTATATTGGTTCTTGGCCAATGAACAGATCAAATATAGCAATGAGTACTATTAACGGTTGGCTCTGGTTGCTTTGGAGGGACATAGGTCCTTAGAGATATCTGTACAGACAGGTGGTCTGAGTTTTAGTTATGCTTGTATGATGTATGCTATACTATGTATCTAACCTTTCATGCAGGAAATAAACTCATGGGTGGGGACTTTCCCATAAACCCTGAGTTTATGAGATTTATTTCTCACCCTGCGTTATGTGGATATATTTCAGGTACTCCAGCAGTTGTTAACCAGTCATTTCAGGGAAAGAGGCCTGTGCAGAGTGGTTAGTGATGGAGCTGGAGTGGATGTTTATTTGTATATGGATGATGTGTATGTTATTTTGAGGCATGAGTAATGATCATGCATGTTGATAGCTATTATCTATTTTGAGAGGCATGTGTGGCCTTTGTTTTGTATATTTGTATATGTTGTTTTTGAATTTAAGTATGTATGTGTGTATTGGCATAGAGCCATAGTTCAGTATTTGAGGTATTTCAGATATCTGTATTTATTTGTTGTAAGTTTAAATTAACAGGTTTAATTGTGTTCAGGATTGGCACTGAGTCAAATTCTCTGATATTTCATTGATGTATTTTAAGTCTGAAATTATAGATATGTAATTTGTCTAGATTTTTCTGTATTACAGGAATTTGGATTTGTCCAGATTAAAGTCGTTATGCTGTCTGTAGGTTTCTGTTCAAAATGTTTCTTGTGATCATATTTGGATAAAATATATCTATTAAGTATAGATATAGATACGCGGTCTGGATTGGATCGGTTCTGGAAACAAAATTCATCTGATCCATTCCTTCGGTTTGATCATGTAATCATCGATTCGGTTTAGATTTTTTTTCAAATCCGATCCGAACCAATCTAATTTTTTTCGGTTTGGATTGGATCGGTTTTTGATTTTTTGAAAATCCTAAAATTTGTTTCATAATTATTGTGCGAATAACATATCTTTTGTATATATTGGCTTTGTAATTTTTTTTTTGAAATACAGAAGCACCAGTAAATGATAATATAGTTTTTTTTAGCAATGAGATATGAAGCTCTGCACAGATAAAATTTGTCTGATGGGATGTGGCTAGGTTTTTTCTTACGTTTAGTTGATAGGTTAATGGGTCTGGGTTTAGAATTTTTTAAACTATGAAATGGGAAAACCCCAAGTAGGTAGAGAATAATTAAAATATTGGATCGATTTGGATTGGATCGGTTTTCATCAACCAAACCGAAATCCGATCCAATCCAATTAAAATTTGCGGTTTTTTCGGTTTTCGATTTATTCGATTATCGGTTTTTCGATTCAGTCACCGCAATTTGAATCAATTTGGATCGGTTGATGAACACTCCTAGATATAGATAGAATAGACATAGGTAGACAAATCAAGAAGTCTGTGCAGGTATGGGACTGTACAGATTACAATAATTGAAATTAGGAATTTCGCGTGACAATACGATAAAAAGGATAATAGATACGTTAAGATATTAAGTCAACGTAAGAAAGTACTATTAGGATAAAAATAAAAAATTTATCCGTCTTTTTTTTATATTATGAAAAGGTAATGCTTAGTTTAAGTCTTCTGCTTAAATCATAGTTTTATGACGCACTATTATACTTTTTTTTTTTGGAGTTACCCAACCCTAATTATCTCTTTGAGACGAGTTGGCTCCCTCCGGTATCCCCACGAGCTTCGACTCTTTGAGCCGGCTATGGGACTAATCCGGAGTGCGGGGGAACAGTGATGGCTAAAGGTTCAGCCCCCTCCCCAAGAATGCATTCAGCGGAAATCGAACACATATCCAACCCTACACACTATTATACTATATGCATGTTAACTAACCGGCTGCGATCAGATGTTACCTATTTGAATTTATATAATATTTTAGTTTTTTTATTTTTACCTAGAGGTATTTTTTGATATTTTATATTATAAGGACATATTTGATATTTAGAAAATCAAATATTAAAGCTTTAAAGTTGTCGTGATATTTTTCTTTAAAATATTTAAGCTCTAAAGTTGTTGTGACATTCAAATTCAAATCTAAATGTTATCCTCTAACTTTTTATCCTCTTTATTTTAGTTTTGGTCATACAGTTATAAAATTTGAAAAACGTTATATCATGTTTTATTTTGACTGTTTAAAACCATGTCATATATGCCTATCTATAAAAATGTGATAACAATTTTCCAAAAACTAGATAAATCTCTTAAAATTTTGTAGCATATTTGGTAGAAGTCCGCTTAACGAAGAAATCAAATTATGTTTATTGAGAAAATCCAATAAATAAATATCTTGGCATCTGAAAACAAAATTCGGTCTCCACCAAGTTTGACCAATTATGCATAAAAAGAATGATGGAATGTTACCCAATTTGACAATTTTTTTGACGAAAAATAAAAATTTAATCTCTGTTTCCTCAATGGAGCAAGAAGGGACACCCTGTACTGAATTTCTGTTATTCAAAATATGTAAGATTGCAGCCAAATCTGCAAAAGCAATTTTCCGACCAAAATGCTCGATTGTTGGTAAACAAGCACAAACAACCAGAAACAAATAACCTCAATTTGAATTTTTCTTCATTTGAATTAAGAAATATCACTTATACAAAATTCTGGTACCACCCCAGTACTAGTTTCGTCTCCGTCTGTGTATGTAGCGTTAGCATTCCAATCTTCTAACCACACTTTGCTTCTATCTTGCACTCCTTTCTCTCTCTCCATCCCCACTTTCTTTTTAAAGAAAACCAGCTCTTAACTTTCCTATAAATACATTGCTATTCCTTTGATATTTAATTTACCGCAAACCTATTTTTTGTCCTTCATTCAGTGTGTTCTTTTTCCATAAATTGAAAACATTAGAATGTCTCAACCAAGTGTAGTGCTTTCAGTTTTCATCATATTTGTCTCATTTGGCTTGTGTTTTGGCTCTTACATAGCGAACACACAGCATCAAAATAACCACCGAAGTTACACTGAACCTGGGAGATTGACGAAGCCAAAACACGAAGAATTTGGTATCATGAAAAGGGGTGGTCGATCTACCCCATCTTCAAGGTCTCATCGTAGAACGGTTAATGTTGATGATTATGGAGCCAAAGCTAATGATGGAATAGATGATACCTTGGTAACGTAACAACAACATTGTGAATATGATACTCAAGTCTATTCAGTTCTCAATCTCTCACTTTCTTTTTCTTTTTTTCTTTTTTCTTTTGTTTTGGCCTTTAGGCATTTGAGAAGGCATGGAATGAGGCATGTTCTACAGGGGGTGATCTTGTGGTCCCTGAAAGCAGGGTTTATCATCTAAAGCCAATAAAATTTTCAGGCCCATGTAAAAAGAATACTGCCTTTACGGTGAGGATAATATGTTCACAAGTAATGCAAAGTGAGAAATTAGCTGATTTTACACTCATTGTTCATAAGTAATTTGAGTGTGAGCCTTCTAGCAATGTGCTAAGGTTGTTTCATGTTATTCGAAGATCATGATTTTGAATATATGAAAAAGCCTTCTTGCAACAATGCAAGGATAAAATTATGTATAATGGACCCTCCCTCTATCTTAATAAGTCGGAGAGCCTTGTGAATCAAGGTTTATCTTCTTCTTTTTCTCATAAATAATTTATTTTTTGTGTTTCATGTTTCATCATGTTAGATCTATGGAACTATCAAAGCATGGCCTCAAATGTCAGCATATCAAAAAGATAGTCGACTCTGGATTATGTTTGAAACGGTCATGAATCTGACAGTTGATGGTGGCGGCATTTTCAATGGTAATGGGAAAAAATGGTGGCAGAACTCTTGCAAAATCAATGAATCCCTTGTAAGTTATTAAAAATGATTAAAATCAACGAAACCCCTGTTCCATTTACATTGCACATTGGATTTATCTCCTCTAAATCAATGAATAATGCATATGTGAATTACCATTGATTATTGTTATTATTTTCCCAATAAGTGGTTTGAATTTTAAAGGAACAGTGTATTTGAACTTATTATTATCCCATATCTAAAATTTTCTTCTCATTTTAATTTATTTCAATTTTTATTTTAGAGATTTTCAGTAATGACTATTGATTGTTATTATTATTATTTTCCCAATATGTGGTTTGAATTTTAAAGAAACAATATATATGAATTTTATTATTATCCCATATCTAAATCTTTCTTCTCATTTGAACTTATTTATATTTTAAATTATGGGATAGAATATTGTCACTACCAAATAATGTTACTATCAATGTCACTATCATATCTTAACCGTTGATTTTCGTCAATCAACGATTATCATTTATTGCAAATTAATAATTAATTAATGAGTTTAATTCATGAAAATGATAACTATTGAATGACGAAAATCAACGGTTAAGATATGTATTAACATTGATAATAACATTATTTGATTATTTGGCATTAAGAATATCCTATCCCTTTAATTATAGTGATTTTCAGTACTGAACATGATTTCTTTTCTCTCCTCCTTTTGTGTCACAGCCATGCAAAGAGGCGCCAACTGTAAGTTAATGTTATTCGTAACATAAAAATTTAACTACTATAATTTTACAAAGTGAATTCTAATTTTTCCTGGAAAAATTGTTTAATAGGCTGTGACTTTTTATGAATGCAACAATTTGAGAGTGGCAAACCTCATGTTCAAAAATGCACAGCAAATGCATGTTAAGTTTCAGAAATGCAACAATGTTAGAGCTATGAATCTTGTGGTCAAAGCACCAGGGAAAAGTCCTAACACTGACGGAATTCACATAACAGAGACACAAAATATTGTCATAAGCAATAGTGTCATTGGGACAGGTAAAAACGAAGATCCACAAAAAAAATATAAAATAAAAAAAGTTCACCTGAATTTTAAAATTTCTAATTTTTTTTCCTTTTTTTTTTTTTGCTGAAGGTGATGACTGTATTTCCATCGTAAGTGGGTCCCAAAATGTTCGAGCCAAAGATATCACTTGCGGACCAGGACATGGAATCAGGTTTTTATGATTATTCCTCAAAAAACTCTTTTAAGTTACAATTTTATATTCATTGGTTAAAAATAATGTTGATGTTGAATTATTTTGCAGCATTGGAAGCTTAGGGGCTGGTAACTCAGAAGCTGAAGTCTCCAATGTGGTAGTGAACAGAGCCACCTTAACAGGAACAACTAATGGAGTGAGAATAAAGACTTGGCAGGTAAGTGTTGGACATTGCTATTATCCACTTTACATAATTTGAAACGGTTGAAAATAGAGGCTTTATTAATAAATATAAACCGCAAAAAGCTGAATTGAAATTACCCACTGAATTTTTATTTTTATTTTTTTACTTTACCAAAGTTCAAGGCCTTCAAGAACAACTCGGTTAAACTTTGTATGAACTGAGGGATAATTATAACAAGGGAAAATATTTTCTCATATTTTATGAGAATTTAATTTTTATGTTGTAACTCTTTAATTTGCGTGCAATTTCTTTTTTCTTTCTTTTAATAAATGTGAGGCTCCCTACTAGTTGAGTCAAAATATAAGAATTGAATTCTCATGCAACATGAAAAAATCAAACCCCTCGTAACAAATTGCCAAATTTTAGGCACAATAAGATTATTATATTTAGAAGTTGACTCATGAACAGGGATTTGGTATAAGGGGAAATAGTGCACCCAAGTTTTGCAAATTTCCACTTTGTTATTTCTTTGACTACTTTTGAGCTAACAAGTATTATTTGGTCGGTCATCACTTCCAACTGACCCAAAGTTGACTAGAAATACTTTCAACTAACAAGGTTTGGCAAGTTTACACACTCCTCCAATTCGTAACCTACTTCACACAAGTCAACAACATTTTAATTAAAAAAAAAAATGTGTAGTTCAACTTTCTTCTATTCCACCTCTTAACTAACTAGAACCAGCAAATCATTTTTTTTTCTCATTCGGTTTTTGTGGAATGACATGACAATTACAATGGGAAAACTCTTTATCCACCATGCCACATAAGTCATATTACATTTACTACAATGTAATGCCTAAAGCATTTAATTTAAACATGTTTCAAGTAAGAGATTTTTTCATACATTGGTGCTTAATGTCAACGTGAACTAAAACAGTGAAAATAAAAAATTAAGTGAGATTCTTCATAATATACAACTTCTTACATGTGGAGAGTATTTATTTTGAAAGATGAGAGGTGCTTTAATTATGGTATCTTATTTATTTATTTTACTTTTTTTTCACTCTATCTTAACACAGGGAGGTTCTGGCTATGCAAGAAACATAAAATTTATGAACATAGTGATGCGAAATGTGACTAATCCCATAATCATAGATCAAAACTACTGTGACAAGAAGGAAGGGTCATGCCAAGAGCAGGTGATTTCTAATGCTCTCAACCTAAAGGCCCTTTTATAGAGAGCAATTGTTTCTATTATAGCATTGCATGAAATTTATATCAATCACGACCATGTTGATGAAATGATAGGAGTCAGCAGTGGGATTGAGCAACGTGGTGTATCAAAACATCAGAGGAACAAGTGCCTCTGAAGTGGCAATCAAATTTGACTGCAGCAAAACTGTCCCTTGCAAAGGAATCTACTTGAAAGATGTGGTTTTAACACCTGAAGGAGGTGGAAGCACCCTTGCTACATGTGAGAATGTTGGATATGTCAACAGAGGAAAGTTTTTCCCTCAATGCTCTCCTTTGAAGAAAGAAGGAAGAATTTAGTTATTTGGATTTGTAAATACCAAATAACTTATTCGGAACTGGGCACCGATGCATATTCATGTTGTTAGTCTAAAAAATTTGTAAACACTTTCATTCAACAATTTCAACATCTAGTTGAGTGAAGTTCAAATTTTGTGTTGTTTTATTTCTTTTCTTTATTTTTATTTTTATTTTTTCAATGAATGGGGGTGGAAAGAAGCAAAATGGAGAAGAAAATAGGGAGATATCAAAGATGAAATCCATGCTTAAAACATAATAGTTATATTGTTGGATTATAGATGAAAAATATAACCGAATCTTATTCCTTAATATTACGAAATTTGTGATTATCTCTAGAAGTTGTAATTTCCTAAAATCAAGTGATTTTCGATAATCATTGATCTCGAATAAGATTAGGGGAATGATGGTGTTTAGGGAAAATGATTGTGGCCCATGTAGGGAATGATATATCGATATAACAGTAGCCCTGGAAAACTATGATATGAGGATCAGAAGACTTCTGAGTTGAAAAAGGAGATGTGTGTGATGGTGCGTGCAGGAGAGGCAAAGTAACGAATAAGTAACGATTCTGCCGAAGTTGTTAAGAGTCCATGTTCTCTGTCCAGTACCATACTCCATGTGGGCCAACCTGGTGCATAGACCAGGTGTTCTCACAGAAGTATGAAGTGTGTGTGCAAGAGAAATATGGATGAATTCCGAAAAATGGGAATGAATTGGGCCTGAAATGGGCTAGTGGATTGGGCATGTTGGCCGATCTCGAACATATACAAAATGTAATTGTCTATTAAATAGGATTTGTTATTGATTTGATCGGATTCTGTTTTCTATTAACAGATTTAAACATGTATTATATTTGGGTTTAATATTTCTCTTATTGCAGGAGATAAATTTATCTCTTATACACACATAAAAGTATGTGAGGTTTATATTTTTTTTCTCTCTTCTCTTCACATGGCCCCATATGGGTCTCATATACTTTTATATATGTATAGGAGATAAATTTATCTTCTATAACATGAGAAACATTAAATCCATTTTAGTATAAAAAGGGGTATATGTTGCGATTAAATTAAAAGATAAAGAAGAGAGACTAGGGAGAGAGGATTAGAGAGGATATTGAGATGTTAAGGAGAGACATGAATTTATTTTTATGTGCTCAATGAGCTAACAATTTATAAAATTATAATTTCAACAAAGATAAGGAAATCCTAATTTGAATTTAAAACTAATAACACTCTTCTACCCAAATAAAAAAAAAAACTAATGACACTCGTAAGATAACTCCTACTAGAACAATTTAAACAACTAAGATAAAGATAAACTAATGTAATAACAAATAACTAGGATAAAGGGAATAAGGATAATTCTTGATTGCTACATTCCATCGCCCTTGCAAACAACCTCGTCCTCAAGGTTGAGGTGGGTCTCCGCCATGATCAAAGATGAATAGTCCTGTCTTCCTTGTGTACTGTGTTGACATCACCAATTGATTAAAATTCTTTATGAGACTCAGCATAACCATTTTTCGGAACAATTTCTCTCGCACCTTTGAGTAGCACGTGCCATCCAAGGCAAAAGATGTTGTAGTTGTATAGCACTTGTGTCTATAATAACTCGTACTTGTATAATGAGAAAATATGAATTTTCCAAAATTATGAGAAAGAAATTAGAAAAAAAAAAGAATATGAGAATAATTCACTTTCAATAAAAAGTGTAATTATAGTAAGTTTTGTGGTAAAAATTGCTATTTGAAAAAATTACCGGAAACCTTAAAGTTTTATCATATAAAGAATAATTTAGAAAGACTATAAGTTAATCACACATTATATGTTAAGTCATAGCTAGTGCGTAATTTAAATGAAGAGAGGACATAGAAGGAATTAGTTAAGAAGAAAGAGAATAAAGTCAAAAAAGCATAAAACATGTTTTCTTAAGTGGCTAATCAAGTGATTACAGCATTTTACCTTCATCGTCCTCAATTCCTCTTCTTTCTTACCCAAAAAGAGAGCAAACTCCATTGCCATTAAGCTTCAAAACCTAGTTTCTTCCACAGTGCATGAAATTCTTTGAGGTTGGAGAGTAAAATACTTAGAATCTTTTGGTGAGTAATATAATATCCCTAACTTAAGAATTTAATTAATTACTTGTAATTAAGTAATTAAGCATGTATAAATGGGTGGAATTAAGCAGGAGGTTAAAATTAATGAGTTAAGGGTACTTTTGAGATAAAAAGTGCAGTCAGTGAGAATTAAGGAATAAAAATATGAGTAGATAAAAGTACCCAAAATATAAAAGTAAAGTTAAGAATATTACTCAAAAATTTTTAGACCATTTGGTTAAGTTTGGTGATGAAAGAAGGTGAATAGATAGATGGGCTTATACCCAGTTAACATAACTTAACATATGTAAATTGAAGAATCAGCCCCACTTTCCCTCATTTTCTTCTTCTTCCACGCGTGAAACAGAAAGAGGGAGAAGGGAGTGAAATCCATTGATCAGCAAACCCTAGCTTTCCCATTTCTTGACCAAATTCATCCATTCCAAAGCCAAAAACGTAAGGAATCCTTCCCTCATTCCAAATCCTAGCTTAGTTTTGAGTGGGAAGCTTTGTGGAGAGAGATTTCTTTCTCCAAAGATTTTGACCCTTTGAAGAATTGAGGAGTTTCGTGGCATCTTCACCCATGGGAGCTTAGGAGACCTCTATTGCTTGGTTATGTGACCTATTATGGTAAGTTTCCACTTCTCCAACCTTGTGTTCATGGAGTTTTCTAGAGGTTGAAGACAATGCATAGTGTTTTTATGGGTTTTATGAGTTTGAGTTAAATTGAAGCTAATTTCCTTTACAAATATTGTTAGGAATGCTAAATAAACGGTAGAAATGAGTTTAGAGTGTTATTTTAGTATGCTTTGATATTTGGAGAAATCTATGCTTGGAACTAAGCATTTTCTTGCATTGTTAGCATTGTTTGATTGTAGGTTTGATTGTATTCCTTGTATTGATAGGATTGAGGCAAGAGGACCAAGTGGAGTGACCAACCCTTGTGGTTGTGTTCAATTGAGGAAAGGAAAGTTTTGAGGAAGATTCAAGTGCAAGGTAAACCTTTGGACCTTGGAGTTGATCCCCTTGAATGTTCCACCATACTCCATTGAGGAGGAATGGTTTATGAGGTGTGATATATAATGATGATAGTTGTTGTATGCTCATGCATGGATTCATGCATTGAAAAATATTATGATAGCTTAATGATAATTGATTGATGTTTTATTGTTTAAGAGTAATAGAGGAGTGGTTAATAAATGTAAGTATTGATTGAGGTAATGATTGATAGAATTATGATGAGGATGATTGGTAGGAACTTCCCTTGGAAAAAGCCCTATGTGGATCTCCATGTGGTAAGAGCTTAAGATAAACAGTCCTATGAGGATCTCTCTTGGAGGTTCCTAGATTGAGGATAGGGACTTCCCTTCGAAACAGCCCTATGTGGATCTCCATGTGGTAAGAGCCTAAGAGAAATAGCTTGTCGTGGATCTCTCTTGGAAGTCCATGTGTTGTTAATGGATAAGAATATGTTAAGCTGTTATGATTATATGTTCATCGAAAGTGAACCTTAGGGTGGAGTGATCTCCAAGGACCCCTGGTTTACTGTGATATATTCGTATATCTCACCCCGTGTTGTAGGGCATCATTTCAGGTACTGATAGAGGTGAGGATGATCGAGGCAAGAAGCATGAGTAGATTGTACCTGATATATGACATTTTGAGATTTCTTACATGTAGAAAACCTCATGTGTAGGATATTTTGATTCATTAGTTGTATATGAATGCATATAGGACTTAGAAGTGATCATGGATGTTGTTTAGCCATGGTGTACCTATTTTGGAACTTTGATCATTGCTATTTCCAAGTGTTTGGTATGTAATCCTTTTGAAGAACAATGATGTAATGGTATATTTGAATATGGATGTAATATGAATCATGTTTTTATCCTTTAGATTGTAAAAAGATTGTTAAGTGTAGTTATGGTGGAAGGGCATGGATGCCATTTGATAAATGTGTGTCTTAACATAGTTAAGGATCATGTATTAAAGTTGTATAATGTCAATTAAGTGTAAAGAGAATGGGGAAAAAGGGAGGAAGTCTCTCATGAAGAAACATGAAAACAGGGGAGGGCATGTTTTGCCCAGTTGGAGAGCGTTTTAGCGCTAAAATGGGCGCTAACACGCGCTATGTACAACACCTCGTATTTTTAAATATATATTTTTATATATGATAATGTCGATTAAAAGGGTAGGATTAGTGAAAATTCGGAAATTAGAACCAAAATACATAAGAAGGGCAAAATGGTAATTTACCAAACACGAGTTCCTAGGCATAAAAAAATTGAGTAGAAGGCCTCAAATGGTGAAAATAAGGCCGGAAATGGATTCTAATGAAAAATCGAGTGGATAGGCAAGTTTTGAAAATTTTGATGAATAGTGATTTTCCGATGTAAAAATACTGCGGTATAATTGTACCGATAAGCATAAAATTTTGATCAGTATTTTTAGAAAACAAAAATATGACACGAATGAGAAAAATACGTAGATCATCAAATTGTTGTTTAAATTCGGTGATTCATTAAGATTAAATCGTATGTGGGATCCACCTATGGCTTAAATGACCTTTTTAGTGAAAAACCTTACATTATCTCTCCTATTTCTCTTCCTCTCACGCGTGACCCTCCCACTTCCATAGCCAAGATCTTGAAATCCTTCTTCCTCTTGTAACTTCTTCATTTCTTGATAGATTCAAGTGATTCTTGACTTGAAATTTGTTGGAAAAAAAGGTGAGTGACTTGGAACCTGATGAATTACTGGAAAATATGAACAGATATGCTTAGGTATGAGCTTGAATCTTTTGATGTTTTACTAGAAAGTTATAAGTCCCTGATGTGATGGCGTACACTTGAATGAAATGAGGTGATTAATGTAGAGGAATGAATTGAATATTTGAAGTTTGAACCTACGAGATGTGACCACTTGGAATGACTATACTAGTGATGTATTAAATTGAGATATATTGAAATAGGAAATTGAAATCCATAAGGATATAGTAATGATTAAATATAGGGAGATGAACTGACTATGTATTATGTGTAGGGGTGGCAATTTGTGACACAACTCGACTCGAACCCGACACGAAATTTTCGTGTATGGGTCAACCCGTTTAATAAATGGGTCGTGTTCGGGTTGGGAAAAATTAACACGAAAAAAATCGTGTCGGGTCACGGGTCAACCCGTGAACCCACTTTGACCCGTAAAAGGTCTTGTTCAATTTAAAGTTATTATACTAATTAATCTGTGGTATAAAAGGAAAGAGAAAAATGCCTTAGGGTTTCCATTTAACAGCGCAGCTCTCGCCTCTCTGCCCCGTCTCTTTGCTCTCGCCTCCAGCGCAGCGTTTAAAGTCTTCTTGTTCGAACAAGGAATCAAACGAATCTGGTATGCATTTTTCGCGGGTTTGAGCTTGAACCTTGTATCTTTTTTAACACTTTGGATTGCAGTTTGAGTTTGAAATTTTGAATCAAAATCGGTATACCCCTTCTACACCTTCTTCTTCTAGTTTGCAAACACGTTTTCAACCACCTATTGAGCTTAAAATGTTGAACACTTTACAGGTACCTTTTTCCAGTCGTGGGTTTCTAAGGAACAACCCTGTTGAGCTTCTGCTGGTTTGCGTCGAAACCCCTTCTTCTTCTTCTTCCTCTTTTTCGTATGTAGAAATAGTTGCTGGTATGTTTATTTTATATGTCTGTTTATCTAATAATAAGCTATGGTGTGGGGTTTGATTGCAGTAAGAAAATTGACTTGTATGTTTATTTGTCTGTTTATCTAATAATATGCTATGGTGTGGGGTTTGATAGCAGTAAGAAAATTGACTTGGGTGATTGTTTTATTCACTGAGTTCTTAAAAGTTCAAATTTCAGTAATAGAGGAAGTATAAAAAGCTAAAGGGTTTCACTGTTTATTCATTTTATTCAGTTTGGTTCATTTAAGTATCTGTTGTGTGTATATATTAATATTGTTCTCTTGCATTTTTTGTTAGCGGGTTTTTTGTTTAAAGGAATGGTAGATAAATCAAGCTGACACATAAAAGATAGATCTTAGTTAAGTTAAATAGAATATAATCATAGTATAATCCTATATTTATATGAAAACCTTTTGACTTTTTTTTTGGTAGACTGAAAACCTTTTCAATCAACGTGGTTTGAGATTAAATTGCATAGCTTATTTAGGGTTTACGGTTTGATTTAGGGACCAATTGGAGAATCCTCTTTTTTATATAAATCAATTTTGTTTTATGTCAACTTGTATTTTACCAAAACAGTTCACAACCAGTTGTAACTGCTCATAGGATTGGTTGTTCACTTGATAATTTTTTGCCGTAGTGTTTAATTGAACTTGCACCCACCATATGTAATTGTATTTATAAGTTCTTGTAGCTAAATAATGATTTCTCTGCCTTAGTGTTTAATTGAACTTGCACCCACCATATGTACTATATATAATATATGTAAATTCTGAATTTTGCTTTCTCATTTGTAGAATAGATATTCTAACTTCTCCTTTTTGAATCACAAAACAGTACTGAAATGATGGATCAGGAGGTTGATGTTCAAGATGCAAATGTTGAGGGTGATAATACAGCTGGGTCAGCAGACACAAACGTGCCAACAAAGAAATCGAGAAAGTTAGTATCCAAGGTTTGGCAACACTTCGAGCGCATTCCACTAAACAAAGATGGATGTAAAATTCAAGCCAAATGTAAGTATTATGATCAATTATACATGGCTGATAGTAAATATGGCACTGGTAATTTAAAGCGGCATTTGGATGGATGTGTGAGAAGAGATACTAGGGATGTTGGGCAGATGATGCTTTCAAATCTAAATAGCTCCTTAAGTTTAGAGCCTAAATTTGACCATGAGAAATTTAGGGAGTTATTGATAGCTACCATTATTATGCATGATTTGCCATTTGAATTTACTGAATGGCAAGGTATTAGAGCTCTTCTTCTATATTTGCGTGCAGATTTGAATATTATAACTAGAAACACAGTGAAGACTGATTGTGTTAAGTTGCATAAAAGGGAGAAAGATAGATGCTTGAATATGTTAAAGGAGAATCCCAGTAAAGTTAGTTTAACATCTGATTTATGGACTTCTTTAAACACTGATGGATTTATATGTTTGACTGCACATTTTGTTGACAAGAGTTGGCATCTGCATAAAAGAGTTCTAAATTTTGGGTTTATGCCACCTCCACATACTGGAAACTCATTGGCTGAAAAAATCCACACCTTTTTGAAGGATTGGGGGTTAGATGGGAAGATTTTTTCAATTACATTGGATAATGCTTCTGCAAATGATGTTTGTGTTCAATTTTAGAGAGATCAACTGTTGATTGGAGGTGGACTTTTATGCAATGGTGAGTTTTTTCACGTGAGATGTTGTGCTCACATATTAAATTTGATAGTTCAAGAAGGATTGAAAGAGGTTGATGAATCTATTGTGAAAGTTAGGGAAAGTGTTACGTATATGAAGGGGTCACAAGCAAGGAAACAAAAGTTTTTGCAGTGTGTTGCTCAAAGTTCTCTTGTATCTAGAAGAGGTTTCAGGCAAGATGTTCCAACAAGATGATTCTACTTTTCTCATGCTTGATAGTGCACTCTTCTATAAACGTGCCTTCATGCACCTTGAGTTAAGTGATTCCAACTACAAATATTGTCCATCTAGAGATGAATGGGACAAGATTGAAAAGATCAATGAGTTCTTGCATGTATTTTATGATATTACTTGCGTCTTCTCTAAAACCAAGCATCCAACTGCAAATCTTTACTTTCCTTATGTTTTTACTGCACATCTGACATTACAAAAAGGATTGAAAAGTGATGATGCTTATATTGTGAATATGGCTGAAAAGATGTTCACTAAATTTGACAAATATTGGTCTGAATTTAGTATGATTTTAGCCATAGCTGTCATTTTGGATCCTAGATATAAGATGAGTTTTGTTGAATGGTGCTACAATAAGTTGCATGGTGATGATGGGGTGAACGAATCAACAAAGGTGAAAGACAAATTGGTTTCCTTGTTTAATGAGTATGCAAATGATGGAATCAAAAACTATTCATCTATTTCTTCAACAAGGAGGGCTGGAGATGGTGGGAGTGAGACAATTGATGAAACATCATTTTCTACTACATCTAGAGATGTTTTGAGTGTAAGTTAACTTAATTATTTGTCTTGTAATTGTTTATATTCTTTTGTATATTTATTGATTTTATTTATTTTATGATATTGTTAGGAATTTGATAGTTTTCATAGAGTGATTGTGCCACAAAAGACTCAGCTTGAATTATATTTAGAGGATCCAAGGATTGACAGAAGAAATATTAGCTTGGATGTGTTATCATATTGGAAGGCTAATCAATTTAGGTATCCAGAAGTTGCTGCAATGGCAAGAGATATTTTTGGGATACCTATTTCTAGTGTTGCTTCGGAAAGTGCTTTTAGTGTTGGAGGAAGAGTACTTGATCAATACCGAAGTTCACTCAAACCTGACATAATTGAAGCATTGATTTGCACTAGAGATTGGTTATATGGAGAGCAAGGTAATGTACATTATCAATCACTTATTCATTATCTGTTCATTTTAAGGATTTTAATTAACTCATTTGATTTTTTATTTTTATAGAGAAATCAGCAATATCTTTGGAAGAATTGACAGAAGATATCATGGACATGAGTCTACATTCAATAACTGATCATGGCGCTCAAAATAGTTACTCGGTTGGTTAATGACTTTTATATTTCAAATTTTTAATCAGTTAAATGATCTTGAATTTGTGATCTTAATTTGTATTTTGGTGGAAGAAGTTGTTGTAAGAATGAGACATTTGTTGTAGTTTGCATTTAATTATGTTTTGATATTGGATTGATGGAGTTCAATGTAGTAAGTTATTTTGATTTGAATTAGATTAAACATTTTTAATATGATTTGAATTAATATCACTTTGTGTTTACTCGTGTCGGGTCGGGTCGTGTTGGGTTGTGTCGTGTCGTGTCGTGTAAATACAGGTTGCCCTCAAATTCGGGTTGTATCGTGTCAACCCGTTTATACATGGGTCGTGTACGGGTTGAGATTTATAACACGATTGTTAATCGTGTCGTGTTTGGGTTGAGTCTATTCGTGTTCGTGTCATACACAGGTCGACCGAACCCGACCCATGAACACGAATTGCCACCCCTAATTATGTGTATAAAGAAGAAGTGGAGAGAATCGCCGTGAATGGCACAAGATAAATGTACAATGAAGGCACTATTGTAGTTAATGGATATCGAGTTTAATTGGCAGAATTGCCATTGGTAAAGGGGTAGGACGGTTGAATGGTATAATCTCATATAAAATAGTAATGAGAATGGTATAAGAAATTAGGATCCAGTGGTGTGGATATATACTACAAAAGGTAGTGTACTTGCAAAATAAATTGATAATTGATATGAATTTAGGAGAAAAAATATATATGATGTGATATAGTATTTATGCATATAGATATGGTCTCCTAGTAGTGGGGACAGGTCTTTCCCTGTAGCGATGCACTGTGTGGATTGTCAAGTAGTGTTAACCAAAGAGTAGATTATAGTTAAAGGATACCCTTGGAAGTACCCACTAGATCTTATGTCTAGGAACACACTGGGCCTACAGGCCATTGAATAGGCTGATATGCCATTGGATAAACTTAAATGACAGAGAATATTAGTAAAGGATAGGTGGATTATACTTAATGGACTGATTGTCAGTCTACATCTTGAAAGGATAAGTGGACAATGGTCTTGCGATGGCGTAAGTGCAAGTATATATATATATATATATATATATATATATATATATATATACCTTAAGTGAACCTGAGTGCCGGTATGCAGATGTTGTGACCGTGAAATTGTTCTGGGCTTCCCTTTGGGGATTGGATCCTAAGAGGTATGACTCTTGGGAGTCCCAGATGGACACTGTTTGAAGTGGAACTCATTGGATGGCCTCTGTGTGCGGACTGCGTGAACCAGTAAATGATGGCATTCCTCGTAACGTATTGAAGAATCGATAAATAGAGTGACGATGTTTGAAACGTAATAGATATTGTACAACTGCCAAGGGGAGTAACGAGCAAGAAATAATGGACAATGGATTTGAACTATAACATGATAGAAGGAACTATTAAGAGTTAGGAAATATGTACGAAATTATGAGGAGAATATGAATTATTGTAATAATGACGATGTTATAAGACACGTCTGAGGGTTAACCAAAATGAAAGTAAACTATCAGTGGGGAGAATTAAACGAGGAAGTTATAATGAATTTACCTATATGTAATATGTTTATATTATACCACTACTATTATTATTATTGGGGGGTATCCCCATGCGAATATACCAAACACATTTTGCCGTTATATACGGATATGGTACAAACACCAAATGGACTGGGTCCATGTGTGATCTAGAATGTATTGGGTACACGTTGTGCCATTATATACGGTACTGGGTGCACAATATATGACTTGATATTACTATCTCTGTGCGACTTATGTGCTAGGAATGTATGGCTATCTCCGCGCGGATTATGTTCCCAGAGACTATTATTATGTTATATGAGGAATATGATACAAGGGAGTATCCTGCATCGATGTGACTACTAGTACAGGTGAGATGCCTTATGTAAAAGCACAACAGAGATTGCGTCGTATAAAGAACGCAAGAGGTGATATCGGGTAATTTTAAGTGAACAGTAATATATCAAATGGGGTATAATATGTGAGATGTCATTAGAAGGTATTTTGAGGTATGATTTCTGAGCACTAGGGGATGTGTGTATATGTACACCAAGTGTGGTGACATGAATTTTGGGTTCCACGAAAAATGTGAAGTTTATTGGGGATTCTTGCCCTATGAGAAAGGATAGCAATTTGTTAATACTGATAATTGAGTAAATGCTTTGCTAGGAAGACTAGTGACAAAAAAAAAACGTGGAGTTAAGATGGTGGCCTGATGGCCTTTCATAAGAAGTTAGTTGTGATGGAGTTAAGTGAAAATGTCTAATAAGGATCAGTAACTTAAATTGTGATGACTAAAGAAATGTTGATAACTCGATGGAGTGATTGGAGTACGGTAGGTGATACATGCTAGGGTGAGAGATATATCCTTGGAGATACACTGCATTGATAAAATTTTAGAAAATTGCTTAAGGGTGAAATTAGTTCCATGTGATAAAACGATCATGTTTGGAAATTGCAATGTGAGGAGACTTATATGTGAGGATTGCGATATAGTATTTTAAGTTGGACATCCATGATAAAAATGTCGATAATGAGGAAATGGAGGTATAAATGAATAAAAAATATGTTAAATCTACAATATTGGTACAGAATGATGAGTAAAAATGGTTAGTTGGTGAAAATTTTAGGCATAATACATGGATGCGGAAGTCATCGATGGATTTTGTGTTTAAACTTGGAGATGGCTAATTTGATAGATAGACGAACAGCAGGTGAAAATTATTGATATGACGCTGTAGGTGAAAAATTTCATGAATGGGTTTGTGGTTGAAGGCCTTAAATGGCTAATCGGAAATATAAATTATTATGAGGGTTGCTAGTTTCGTATCACAAAGAGAATAATATAGTTGTGATTATCTAAGAAGATGTGAAGACACGTGACAAAGTAAATTAAAGTGTATAAATATGGAATTTAATGTGAGTTGGGATGATAGGGTACTGTAAAGTGCCATTGAAACTAGGTATGTACTTGTGTGAAAGCTAAGGAAGCAATGAAATGGTAAGATTAGTAACATTAATGGAAAGGACTGGTATGTTGGGGTATTGTTGAAACAGTAGTGGTAGCGAAGGGGTTGAAATACTAAAGAGAGTGTGAGTTGAAATATTCAGGAAATGACAAATAAATATACTTGGAGATCGTCTGATGTTGTTGTGCGTGACCTTGGGTCAGATAAATAGATAGAGATGAAAATGAAGTGAGGTGAGGTAGACGAATTGGTGACATAATTATATTATTACCTAGAAATCAGTGAAAGTGAAACCGTAGCCCATGGAAAATTAATAATATTGTGAATTAAAAAGTCATACCACCGGAATAAACAAGTATTTGTGAAGGATTGAGGAACGATGGATACTACAAAAATGAGGTTATGCCTGTGACAAAAGTAAAATGGTAGAGATGCACACCTGAGGAGGCTACTTTAGAGTGGAAGGACGAGATTCCCTGGCTATATCCCGAGTCAGAGGACCGGTACGATGCTAATTTAGCAGACAAAAATTCTAAAAAGAGGGGTGAATATAACACCTCACATTTCTAAAATATATATAATATATTAAATAAGGATTTAGGGGAAGGATTAGTGGAAATCCTGAAGATTAGGTCAAAATACAAAGAAAGGGTAAAACGGTAATTAGCCAAACACATAACCCTAGGAAGCTAAAATTGAGTAGGAGGTCTCAAATGATAAAAATAACCCTAAAAATGGATTCAGAACGAAAAGTTAAGTAGGTAGGCAAGTTTTAGAAAATTCTGTGAATAGTATTTTTACCGGGTAAAAATACTGCAGTACGATTGCACCGTAAAACGTGTCGATTGAGTTTTGAGCTCTAGGTTTGAATATAAGTTGTAAATGGTATATAGGACTAGTAAATATGATTTCTGATGAAAATTGACGAAAATTAGTGAGTTTAGGGAAGCGTGCCTACGGCGCGCGTAACAGCTTAAAACTGCAATTTCTCCGAACGACCGGAAAACTCTGGATTCATCTGATAAAGGGTAATTAAAGGACAATGGTTAATGTTAAAAATTAGAGTTTCTAAATAGGTTATGAAATTATGGACGTTTAGTGGAATCGGAGGGAGTTTTGAATTACTTTGAAATCGCGTGAGATGGCGGTGGGTCTCACCTCACTTAAGTGACTACATGACAACTCATCCATGCCACTATTCATCATCTTTTCTCTTCTCTCTCTCTCCTAAAACAGATCACCCCCCCCCCCCTCCATGGCCTTCCCTTGCAAAATTTTCAATCTCTCATAACTCCTTCAGTACTACTCCGAATCGAGCAAAGTTGTTGGAAATCATCACACGAGCACATCCCACTGATTAGTTTCCCTTGAAACCCTCTCTATTGTAAGAAAATAGGCAAAGACAGCAACAAAATTTGGGGAGAAATTGGGGTTTTTGTAGTTGTTGCTCAAGCTTTGCTTAGAGATCAATTGGAGGAGCCTTGTGCCTTGATTGTGGATAAGTTACAACACCTTTCATGGATTGATTTGATGAATTTAATTTTATGAAACCTAGGGTTTGCATGCTTGATTTGTGGAATTAGAGAGCTCAAATTGAAAATGTGTATTAGATAAATATGTCTTAGAATGATATTTTGGAGTGATGTATGTCATAAAATTTATTGGTGAAAATTTATGATAACTTAGGAAATTTTGATGAGGAATCCAACACTTTGTGATTTTGAATTGTGATAGGATTGTGTAATTGAGTTGTTGGATGTTTATACGATTTAATATTATAATGTTATGATGCATTGCATTGCATTGCTAAATAGGATTGGATATCCCTTGGTCGGAGGCAAGGAAGAGTTCGGCCACATGTAGGATAATAGGGAATTTGATGTTGTAAAATTATTGGGTTGATGGATTGTGTGATTAAATGATATTTGAATGGGTTGTGTGATGTTTGAATGCTTTGGAAATCAAAGGAAAAGTGGATGGTTGTGTGGAATTGGTCA